AGTGCTGGGCATCTTTCAGCCCTGTCTGTGCCGCATGAATTGTCTGACTTTAAGCCCTGGGCTCAACCACACATACTTTCCCTGTCCTGAAGCCGTGTTCCAGAAACATACATCAGTCTCAGCTCTTGCCTTGCGAGAAGACAGCTCCTCAAGTCGAGTAATGAACAGTCCTAGAATGAGTCAGGATAGATTTGTACACACGTTAATAAAATGTAGATTGAGGACCTTGGCCTGCATTAGCATTGAGGCTATTACTGATGATTTACTTTTACTTGGCAATACTGAAAACATAAAGACAGCTTGGTTTTGTGCCAGTACTTTCATGCTCTAAATTGTCATTGGATGACTGTATCAACGATCCCATCATTAATGCCCACCAGACTTTTGAGCCCAGGAGGGAGGCAGCAATGGTGGGAGGGATGGAGGCCGACTGCTCTGGGAGAGGCCCCTGCAAGGTCCTCATGTGTATCGTCCCACTCAAATGTTCAAGTACTAGGGCAAGCAAGTCATTTCCACTCTCTGGGATTCTGTTTTCTTACCTGTAAATTAAATGGCTTAGGATAATCTCCAAGGTTGCTGTCAGCTGTCATGCTCTTTGATTGTGAACATTATTTACATATAGAGGGACTCCTTGGGGGTTACCAAAGGTCACTGCGAAGCTCTGCTTCTCTCAGGCCTTCTTCCTCTTCACCTCCCAAACTCGCCAACCATCCTGTGTGATACTATGGTTCATTTTTTCTTTGTGACAGAGCAGAGCACACTGAATAATTTCAGAATTTAATTTTGCTACATAGCAGACTGTATGGAAGCTGCCTAGTGGCTCCTTTAGATACATGGCTTTGACTTCCTTCTCTCAGCTCATTTTCTCCATCTTGCCAAAATTGTCCTGAGAGTATCTGGAATCTATGAAGCATTATTTTCATGCTGCCCTAAGAACTATTGCCATCTTCTCTTCAATCATGGCCCAGATATCTTAAACCAACATTATGCCTCTGCTGAGGTGATGGCCGTAACTTTCTGACTGAACTTTTGTTGGGAAGTGTACTGACTCACCCTCTGAGGTGAATCTATAGCTCCTGGGGCAGCATGCCATGCCTTCAAGTAAATTCGTTCTGAGAGTTACGAAAGGTCTGTGGTAGAGATCTCATTCAGCTCACCCTCTCCCCTAGTTTATTCTCCATCACTTTATAGACACAGAAACTGAGGCTCAGAGAAGCTAATGGACATACCCAAGGGTTGAAGAGCGGTAGAACAGGTGCCGTACCATTAGATGCACACGAACACACACACACACACACACACTTCTACCTTATTTCAAAGACCCAGAAAGTCTATGATTATGATGTAAAGTGATGGCAAAAGTTTAGTCTTATCTTCAAAAATTACCCATTTTGGCTTCCTCAGAGGAAATGTTAGGCAGGAGCCTCAGGCGTATTACTTGACTCTATTGTACTCCACAGTCTGGTTATCTTCAAGTGGGAAAAAGCACTTGGCCTTTCCTATCTCAGGAGAATGTTGTGAAAATAAAGATGAAATAGTGAGTTGGATTTTTCCAGGCCTTAAGAGTCATTTCAAGTATTGTTCATTTTGTGTAAAATAGTGTTTACTCTTCTGATTTTCTACTTCTCTAAGGCTTTCAATAAATTTGGTTCATATTTTTTTATGTTCGTAGTGATTATAAAAGGTACTTTCTTAATTCTGACAATGTGGCTGTTCCTAACTTCACTGATTATTTGAAAACTGAGAGCCTTAAAAAAATCCTTACATGCACGGAAAGTAGACTACCAGTTGGATTGGGTCTACTCATATGATTATTGAAAAACTGAGTTGAGGCAGAATCAGGATTAGAATTTGTAAAGTGTTATGACCAGGATTAAGACATGGGCAATATGCTAATGCAGAGTCTAGAATAAATGATTATCAATATATTTGAAACTGAAGGGAAAGACAAAGAATTTGAAAGAGGTAGCATCTGAGCTGAAGAGCCACTACTTATTTGATGAGTCATTTCTAGCCTTTTGGAAGCCCATACCTTGCCTTGTATAAATCATTATTAAATATTTTTCTAATGAATTAATACAGTGAATGGAATGAATTCTTCTACTTCACTACAAAGTTTCCCATTTTTGGAAGCCTGGGTGGCACAGTCAGTTCAGCATCTGACTCTTGGTTTCTGCTCGGGTCATGATCTCGGGGTCATGGGATTGAGCCCCACGTCAGGCTCTGCACTTAGCACAGAGTCTGCTTGTCCTTCTCCCTCTGCTCATCCTGTGTGCTCTCTCTTTCTCTCTCTCAAATAAATAAAACCTTTAAAAAAATAAAATAAACTTTCCCAGGGATCCCTGGGTGGCGCAGCGGTTTGGCGCCTGCCTTTGGCCCAGGGCGCGATCCTGGAGACCCGGGATCGAATCCCACGTCGGGCTCCCGGTGCATGGAGCCTGCTTCTCCCTCTGCCTGTGTCTCTGCCTCTCTCTCTCTCTCTCTCTCTCTCTCTCTGTGACTATCATAAATAAATAAAAATAAAATAAAATAAACTTTCCCATTTTAACCAAACCAAAGCTGGACAGAATATAATGGGAGAGGTATTCATGCTAGTAAGTATGTGATTATGACACACTTAATGCACTGGAGTTTATACCCTCCGCATAGACAAAACCCACTCTAGCCACACTTCAGTAGACTCTTGATTCTCACGTGGGAGACAGACTTGCCATGGCTCTGTCGTCCTCATCTCCTTCTTCAGATACCCCAGCCCACACTTGCAAGGTCAAAATCTGCATTTCAGTGTGATCCCCAAGTGATTTGGTTGCTCCTTAAAGTTTGAGAAGCACTTACTGTGCAGCGTTCAATTTTATTCTCTCCCATTGGTCTGTGATATAATGTTAGACTTTAATATCTGATATTAATCAATATGTTGCTGTAATTCTATCCTTTGCTGAGCACAGCATCCTTTACTACCTACCCCACCCCCCCCCTCCAAAAAAAGAAGTTATTTGAGATAATTTTTTGCAAGTTAATGTGTGGGAGAAAAATGTAAGACCCTTAGCCCATGACAATAATTGATTTTTTTTTTTTGCTGGTGTTTAAAATGCCAAAAGGGAGAATTCACTTCCATTTTCTTCCTTTTAATTCATAGTAGGAAGTAGTGTGAAGGAGAATTTTTTTGAGGAAAAAAAGAAAAAAAAACCCAATGTAATGGAGAATTAGACTCTCGTCAATATGGCCATTTTCATCCTGAAAATTATTTTCATCCTTCTCTATCTAATGGATTTCAGTTGTCTCAAGAATAATTTAACCCTGCCAAATCCTGCTATTTAAAGTCATTGGAAGTTACATCGATTTTTTTTCCCCTTCTCTCCAGTTTCCTAATAACCTAAGGAAAGCAAATTCAGTTAATTGGCAGCATTGGCTCTGCTCTTGACAGTTGTGCCTGCCAGCCCTCTAATCAAGACGTGCTGTGTTAGAATGTGACGGTCGCCACAGCCGTGCCAGGGTGCATGCTGGGAGATGGCAACACAGTTGTGGGCCACTCCCTCAGCAATGAGAAGGACCTTCCTGAGCGACTCTGCCACTGCAGCCTAGTTGTCCTTCATAGAGCTAAATCCTGTCGGATTTCATCTAGAGAGGAAGGAAAGCATAGCGACCTGCGTATACTAGACGGAAAAGACCTCTTTCATTGAAAATCCATGATGCAGTGATAACCACTCATTTCTCTAAAGACATCTGTGTCCCTTTTACCAGACATTCAGTGGGGCTTTCAAATGCCCACTTGTAGAGAGGAAGTTGGAGAGGGAAAGTGTCTTGCCTTTGAATCCCTCCTATGCCACCCAGCTCTGGAGCCAGGCAGGGTGGGAAGGTCAGTACTGAGAGGCACAGGCAGGCAGCAGGGGTGGGGAGTACCCTTCTGAGGTGCTAGACATCATCCTAGTAGTCTGAGTGACCAGTGTAAGAAGGTTGGAGGAGATGGGAGAGGTTTCTTGAAGGTTAAGAAAACGGGAGATTCAAACAAGAGAGTCACAAATGAGAAAAGGGTCGACTTTCAGGTGGACTTAACCTAGCTAGAGTATCAGCTTGAGCCAGATACTGGAACAAAATGGTGCTAAAAGAGCCCCTGCTCAGAGCCACTCCTTGTCCACCAGGAGCTAAATTGTTCTCAAAATGGCTGAAGTGGGGTAGAGGATGGACTAAGTCAGAGTCTTATGAGGAGCTAGTTCAGAATACACCTGCCCAGGCCTCTCCCAAGGATGGCACAGACGAAGTAGTTGCGAGTGGTCTTTACTAGTTGAGAACTGGGGCTCTGAGTCCTCTACCCTGGAGATGGGGCTCCAGCGCTTCCCCTTACTAGCCATGGGGCCTTTGCCCAGTGATCGACCCTCTCCTGTCCCCATCTCCTCACCCGTAAGATTATGAGAAATATGTTCGGCCTGCTGTTTGGCAGAGTAACTGTTCTGTAAGGAAACTACTCGGGGAATGGAAGAAATTCTTTTTTGGTTGGAACCTAATTTTATTCAGAAGAAAATATGAGCTCTTGTCCAGCTCAGAAAAAGAACAAGGTAGACAAAGTAACTGGTTGGAGTTGGCCATTAGCCTACCTTAAGGACATTGGAAGCATAGTATATATCCAAGCTGTTTTCATTTCATTTGAAAGACTAGCGGTTTGAGGGATCCCTGGGTGGCTCAGCGGTTGAGCGTCTGCCTTTGGCTCAGTGCGTGATCCGGGGGTCCTGGGATTGAGTCCCACATCAGGCTCCCTGCAGGAAGCCTGTTTCTCCCCCGCCTTTGTCTCTGTCTCTCATGAATAAATAAATAAAATCTTAAAAAAATAAGACTAGCAGTTTGAGTTATGATACATATTTAATGTTGTCATCCTACATATACCAATTTCTTTCAAACATAAATGTGTTTGAAAACTTGTGATGACAACACATGATCTGGAAATCAGAAGGCCATGCCTCTAACCTATGTCTTCCTTCCTCCCCCCGCCTTATCCCAACGGGAAGAATTCCTTGACCAGGAGCGCACCCCTTCCCAACGACTCCCAGGCACGCAGCGGGGCTCGATTCCACACCTCCTACGACAAAAGATACATCATCAAGACCATCACGAGTGAAGATGTGGCCGAAATGCACAACATCCTGAAGAAATACCACCAGGTAATTTTTCTCTATTTGAAACTCTTGAGAAAGTTAACATTCATGATGAATTATGACCAAGGCCAAAGATCTAGTTAGGAATAATAAGAACACATTTGACATAAAAATCTCCTTGCTGGGTTTATTAACATTTCTGTGACCAGATTGCTGATCATTAACATTTAGGAATTCTTGTACTGTGAAGATCATTAGTTATTTATTTAACACTTTTCATGTAAATACTCTTCCGCATAATAGTTTTGATGATTACCATTCTGAATTTAAAATCACTTAGTTTAAGATTTGGCAACATTTCAGAAGTGTTTTCCCCATGCCAGAAGTCAGGTGTTGACCTCTTGGGTATTTATCCATTTACACTTCCAAATCCTATCTTGCTTTCTCTGTTTCTTCCTGTCCCCGCCCCAGAGGGGTCCACCCCACTCTGAGAAAATTATTCGATTTTAGAAAGTTGGTGTTTGTTTACTTCCTGCGTCCTTTTTACCCTTCAGTGTTCTCCATTCATAATCCCCTGGGAATAAAATGAAACTCCCGTTGGGAGCAATGATCTATCTCCCTCCCTCCCTCCCTTTCTTTCTCTCTTTCTCAGTATCAACAATTCTGACATAAGTGTGCCTGATAGAGCACATATTCCCCAGGTCCCAGCTGGAGCTGTACAAGGCTTTATGTACTGTGGTATAAGGGCATGAAGTCCATTGTCAGATACTCCTGGCTTCAGATCCCAGCCCTGTCACCTCCTAACCAGGTGACTTCTGGACTTTGAAGCCTCAGTTTCTTGGTTTATACAATGGAGGTAATAACAACACCTAACTCTGGAGTCCTGGAGGTTAAGGGGGAAGAGCTCACATCCGGTACTCAGCACAGCTCTGCCACACGCTGGCACCTCGGTAGATGGTGCTGGCGACCATCATCACCAAGTCACACAACAGTAACCACTGTGGCATCCTGAGAAATTGTGGTCTTTGGCATGAATATGACCATTGCTTGCAACATCACAGCAGTCATCTTCAGAACTACTATCTGAGCCACACGCCAACACACACACGCTTGCTTTTAGACTCCTGCTTTATTTTTTGACCTAAATAGCTCCAAATCCTCCTCACAAGTAAAGATTGGCTGTCACAGAGGATTCTCAGAATTAAGTGCCTGTGTTAACTGAAGGATTCTGAAACATTATTAAATCTCGGCCTCTCGAGGTGACTACTTTGAAGGTAGTGGTCATTTGGATTTGTGAGCTCTGAGACTTCTGTTTAAAAGTCCGCTTCCCTACTTTATGGTCACATGTGATGTTCTAGCGTCATGAATTATTTCTTGGCACTTGCTTATTCTTCCCATCTCTGCGAATGTGATCGATTGCATTTTGCTTGCAGTGAAATCTATTAAAAATCTTTGAGCTATATTCTGTTTCTGGAAACTGGGGACTGCTCCTGTTTTGTTCTTTAAAAACATTAAGTCAGCCTCTAAATTCATTGAATGTCTAAAAAATCTTTTAAAACATCTCTTCCTTTTGAAATTTGTTCTATAGCACTTATGCTGTTGCCTAATATAAAGGACATTTTAAAATACCAGGATAGTATGAGTGAGGGCACAGGCACAGGCCTCTGAATGAATTGAATTACAGTATGAGACTTTTAACTATTCACCTTTTAAAGTGTCTACTATTTCATGTTTCCCCCTCTGGAACCTAATGTCATGCTTAGACAGTCTTTTTACTCTTTCTTTAAATTATCTCAGAACATTCAAAGCAAAGTGATACCTCAGTGACTGATGAAAACATATTATTCTGATACGTGGCTATGATAACGTTCTAATAAAATGTGACACGCAATTCAAATATCAACTTCCTGATGACAACTTTGAGTTCAGAATTTCTTGGCTTTCCAGAAATCACTGTTTGAAACCTTTTCTCTGGGGTAGTCGCTGTAACCTCGCATGCAGATTTGACATGTCACCAGTATTACAGAAAATACATTGGGGATCATAATAAATATATTGATGTCCTCCTAGGGCTTTCACAGAGCTCAAGATTGCCTTTCGTTCCACTGCTAGAAAATAGTTATCTTCTTGGTATGTTCTTTCCCCAAAAAGTCTGTTCTCCAACATCTGGATTTTTCTTTCTTCTTAAAAATAGCATCTTAAACCTAAAGTGTCTTAATAAATGAGAATTGCCATGATTAATACAATTTATTTCAAGGACATTAAGTTGAAAATCAAGAGACCTACATCCTAGCTTGTGAAGAAATGGCTACTTAGATGATCTTTGAAGCTCAGTTTCCCCATCTGTGTTTCATTCATTCATTCATTTGTTCACAGATTTACTCTTGACCTAATTCCAGAAAGGATAGAAGGTGGCCTTCCACAAAGTTTGAAACATGAGGTAGAATAAATGGGAAGAGAGGCAAGGTAGAAGAGGGAAGGAGAGGATGGATACAAAATGAAACCTGGGTTGGGCTGGGATGACCAGCATGCTTGCTAGCATGAGGGCCAGGAATTTGAGTTTCCTAGCAGCCAACATGCAAAGAGAAGCCTGAGTAAGTCAGTGACACAGCTACTGTGCTTGAAGATACCAATGAATAAGTTGAGCAGGACTAGAACTGTTCTTGGTGCTAGGATCAGACAAGGGTTGCCTTAGTCTAAGGAGTACCCCACAGAGAAGACACGTGACACAGTAAACGTCATCCTTGCAAACACCTATGCAACATAGAATTTCATGGAACTTGAAACTCATCGGTGTAGGCTGCTGAAACCACATCAACACAGAATTACACTTGGTACCACGGTTGTGCAAGGGAGGATGCAGTTTGCACGGGCTCCCTGGCCCTCTGCTGGCCTGGCTGCCTCCTGAATGTTCTTCACGCCCCTCCTGCCAGAGGCCACCTTCACACGGGATACTGGTGATTTGACCCAGTGGCGAGCTCAACCTCGTAAATCCCCAAGTTAGCTGTTGCCCGCGATCGGATACAGGCCTCGTCATCTGTGATCCAGGAGAGGTCTCTCCAGGCTTTGTGGTTCTCTGTTCTATTCTGTGATGCTCCCAGGCATTTGAGGCACATGTCAGGCTTTTTTTCCTGCTCTAAGGAGATCTGGACCAATTTGAGGATTTATGCTGAGTCATAAATTTCTGTCTGTTGCTTGGGCTACAAGTGTCAATTCTTCGATTTCGTCTTGCTTTTTGTTGTTGTTGTTTTTTGTTTTGTTTTGTTTTGTTTTACCTTCTAATGTGCTGCTGTGCTTCTGAACTGCAACCTGGTCTGGATGAGCAGTGAGGTGTGTTCTGATTGTCAGTGGACAGGACTGGCTCTCGGAGAGGATGCCTCCTTGGAGTAAACGAATGGACTTGCCGATAGTTGTGGTACTTCCGTGGCCCTTTGACTTTTCTTTTCCCTTCTCTTTTCTTTCATTGTTTTCTGTTTTGATGAAATATAGCCAGAGCTATAGCGATAGTCAGGAAGGTTAAAATTGCCATGAGGCCAGTCTCTGGAGAAGTAGAACATTACTAGATGTTTACATAAATTCTTGGGACTACATTTCTGACAAGGTGGTGTGGCAGGAGGTTCAGGCCTCAGACTCTGGAGCTGCAGTTTTGCCTCTGACTAGCTATGACCTTGGGCAACTGACCAAACTTCTCTACACCTGTTTCTCTGTCTATAAAATTTGGTTAATAGTACCTCCTTTACTGGGTATTGTCTTAATTAGGTGAATTGATATTTACAACCTGCTCAGCTTGGTGAATGGGAAGTGCTCTTATTCAATGATTGAATAAGATAAAGACCATTCTTCTACTTCGTTTCCTTCATTTCCTGCCTCCCTGTGCTGAAATCATCAACTCTGTCAATCCACTAGGGGGCCTGGTTTCTGGTGTCCTGTGGGATGGTTGCAAAATTATGAAAATTCAAACCATAAGGAGTTAGAATTTTTCCCAAGCCCCCATATCTTGCCTCAGTCTTTACTTGCGGCCCAAATCCTACCATAATTTCCACTCCACATCATCCCTCAGACCAAAAGAGAATTTCTATTAAGCAAAGCAAACATTTACAAGCCTCTTTTATTTTATTTGGTTTTCTCTTTGTTATATTTGGGAAAATTACCCAAAGTTTTGGTGTCAGTACCATTTTCTTCACTTTTCTGTTAGGCTAGAACAAACTTGGGTCTTGTAAATGACAATTGTCAACTAATTTGCTCACCAGTGTCAGCATTCAAAAAGGAAACCTACTTGAATGTCTCTTAAAATGACTGATTTTTTTTTCCCCCCGCTGGCGTAAAATCATTGGGAGTTTTGGCATCATGTAGCTTCAGCTTTAACTGAAATTCAGGGTCAGTGTCAGTGGAATCTTAGAAGTTTTAAGAGAGGGAACAGGTTATTGTATGCCTCATCAAGAAATGCCTAGGAATATATCATTAAGAATATCTTTTCCATTTTTGAAATGCAGAGTTTAAATTTACTTGTTTCTCATTTCAAAATAACTGAACTGATAAACTGATAAAGCGACCCCCAAAGCATTGGGAAACAATTAGTAACTTGACCCAAATCTGGAGGTCCTGTCTAAAAATCTGAATTTCTTGTTGTTGTTGTTGTTTTAAGATTTTATTTATTTATTCATGAGAGACACAGGCACAGGGAGAAGCAGGCTCCCCATGGGGAGCCTGATGCAGGACTCGATCTCAGGACCCTGGTATCACAACCTGAGCCAAAAGCAGATAGATGCTCAACCACTGAGCCACCCAGGTGCCCTGAATTCCTTGTTGAGTAAGCTAGCTAGTATCTTACATCTCAGGAGAGGATTTTAGAATGAATGCTTGACTTTTTTGAACCCTCCTTGGAGTCCTATCTTTTTATCCTTCCATGAGGGACAGTGGTGTGGGTATTTTCATTCGAAGAAGAAGCCACGGAAAGAAGAAAAAAATAGGCACATAAAAGCCAACAGCTGAAACAGTTGGGTGTTGCACAGAAGAACAGGTTACACAGTGTATCAGTGCTTCTCAAACCTTGGGTGGAGACTCGA